GCGGGGGGGGTGGTGGTGGCTGGAGGCTGAAGGAGACTTTTTTCTGGAAAACTATTCTAAAGCAGGGAGGCATGTCTGCCATGCTTTGGCTTTTCTCCAGAACAATTTTCTCTGAGGTTGTCGTTCCTCTTAAACTAGGACAAAGAAGACTGGGATGTCTTGAAACAGCTTTTTTGCATTAATGAAAAATACATTAAGTATCGAAGTCTTGACCTCCCAGCAAGGCTGTTTCAGCCATTGTTAAATGTGTATGGCACTCACTGGACGCCATGTCTCTGTTGGCTGAAAAAGAGATTCCGTGGGAACTGCTGCACAAACCCAGGGAATTGGATTACAACTCTCACAGGCTCAGGGGTGTTTTTGTTTTTTAGATGTGTTCTGCCTACATGTATTCCTGCAGGTCAGAAGAGGGCACCAGATTTCATTACAGATAGTTGTGAGCCATCATGTGGTTGCTGGGAATTGAACCCAGGACCTCTGGAAGACCAGCTAGTGTTCTTAATCACAGAGCCATCTCTCCAGCTCCAGAGGTAGTTCTTAATTTCCCTGCCTGGCCATGCCCTGCCCCGTATCCCCTAGGGTACTGGGCCATGCTGGTACTGGCAAGGAAAGAGTCAGATGGTCGGGAGCATTTTCATACAGTCCTTATTTGAAGACAGAGAGGGACATCTGATACAAAGCCACCCTCGTCCTTGAAGCCGGAGTGCCAGGTGACATCCAATTCCTGGGCTGTGGCAGATGGAGTTGATTCTTGTTTAATTCAAGTGCTGATTAGAGTGTGGCAGCCAGAAATTGACCTAGGTGCCTGGGTGGAGAGACTTCAGCTCCTGTGAGTCATGTTCTTAAAAGTGAGACTGCTTCTGAGAGGGAACCTTCAGGAAAGTGAGGGGTTTTCCTCTTCTAGTTCAAAGATGAGTCTCCAGTTTTAGTTTGGCTTGGACGTTGGGAATGGTGTGGATTTCTCTGTGGAGCTACATGGATGCCCAAGGAGCAGTCATATCTCGATGGTCCCTGCCATAGTAAGCATTCAAGAAATGCTTGTTTGAGCCAGGTGGTGGAGGTGGACACCTTTGATCCCAGTACTCAGGGCAGAGGCAGGCAACCTGGTCTACAGAGAAATTTCCTGGACAGCCAGGACTACACAGAGAAACCCTGTCTCAAAAAAACCAAAAGATGAAGAAAAGGAAAGAAAAGAGAAAGAAAAAAACTTGTTTGAAGGGGACTGGGGATGCGGCTCAGTTGGTAGAATTCTTGCCTAATGTGCATATGATGCACCCTGGGTCCAACCTCCAGCATATAAACCTGGCAAACTGTTTCATGCCTGTAGTCCCAACCCTTGGTTGGGTCAGAAGTTCAGGGTCATACTCAGCTACATAGAGAGTTGAGGCTAGCTGACTTAAGTCTGGCCCACATTTGACTATCTCAACGTTAAGAAGTCATCTTGGAAAAAAAAAGTGAGGTGTAGTGACACACTCCTTTAATCCCACCACTTGGGAGGCAGAGGCAGATGGATTTCTGAGTTTGAGGCCAGCTTGGTCCACTGAGTGAGTTCTAGGCTAGCCAGGCTACCTCCTTGCTCCTTCCTTCCAAGCCGCTCCTGAGCCGTCCTCCAGAGAGCAATTCACTGCTCCACACAGCTTCAAGGAGTGCAGAACAGGGCCTGAGCCACCTCTGCACGCTGCTTTTAGGGGTCAATGAAAAGGAAAGGGCGTAGGTTTGGGGCTCTCCTAGGCTGGCACGATTTTTTCTTTTTTTTTTTTAGAAAAACAGAACAGCCTTGCCTTGCTGTGTAGCCGTGTCTAGTGCTTTGAGGTGAAAATTGTCCCTGTGTGCTGCTGGCTGGCACATTTGGGATTGTTGGAAGCCACAGTTCATTTAGATCATAGGCTGCAGGGCAGGTCCCCTGAGTTTGGGTCCTGGCTTTGGGGCTCCAGAGCTTTGTGACTCAGCCAGTTACCCCTGTGCTCAAGGCTCACTTTCCCCACCTCTGGTGATGGATGGGTTGCATCCTGGCCTCCCTGAGCAGTTGTGAGGGTCCTGTGAGGGTACCTAACCTTGGGATAGTTGAAGGTGTGGAGCTGTTAGCAGAGCTCCTAAGGAGGGTCAGTGATGAGCCGGGAGACCTGGAGGTGTGGGAAGTTGGGCTAGTCCAGGCAGGGGGTGGGGATGGATGCCACAGGCCTCTATGTGAAGAACCAAAGGGATGGGGGACTTAGGGAAGTAAGACTGGGATAGAGAGGTGGGCAGTGTCTGGAATTGGGGGAGTGAGAAAAGGAAGGTGCAGGTGTCAGCAAGGGGTATGACGTGCAGGGAAGGGTCTCTGGTTGACTAGTGAGAGGCTAGCTAGTGGTGGTTGTGGGAACCTGTGTGGGCGGAAGCTCGGCAGTGCCCCCTTCGGATCCCAAAGGACCAGCGACTCCCTGGGAGTCGGAAGAATATTACCAGAAACTCTGGGGAAAGTGATGAGTAACGGGCACCTGAAGCTGCCAGGCCTTTGGAGTGAGTGCGCAGCCGCGCTGCATCTCCTAGACCCCGCCCCCATCCGGCCCCTGAGGGTGGGGCTTCTCCCATTGCTAGCTCCCTGGGAAGGTGCAAGAGCCTGTCCCTGTAGGTTCTGCCCCTTAAAGTCTCAGGTCTCACAGGGCAGGAGAGGTGGGTTCTTTGCCCTCCTCCATACTCTCCAGCTCCAAGACATGGGGGCGTGGGCTAGTGGGTCCCTGAAGGCGATTGCTAGGACCAGCTGCTCTTCAGGGGGCCTGTACCCAGCCAGCATCCTGTACTTTAATGGATCTTCCCTTTCCCTTTCAGCCTTTATGAGAGGCCTGCTGGCACACCTGACCTGCTCCCTTTCAGCTGTGTCCCTTCCTCACTGTGTGACCTCAGGCAGGTGGCTTTGCTCTTCTGTCAGAAACGAAGCAACCAGAGAGGGTTGCTTGAGTAATACGATGAGCCCTCATTCTCCTCCCTTCACCGATTATTGGCGTTTTTCCACTTTATTTTCCATATCTGCATTTCCTAATGTCACTGTTGCTGATTCATGGGAAAGTAAGCAGACGGGTCAAGCAGCCATCAGGGAGTAAGGAAGGGTGCCATCGTGCACAGCCAGAGAATGATTTTCTCTTGCAAAACCTTTACAATAACCAGTCTCCAAGGCTGCTCTGACAACAGGCAACAGGCAGGGATGCTTAAGCAACAAAAATGGTCTCAAGTTCTGGAGTCTGGAGTTCTGGTTTTAGGCTTCAGACAGCACCTTCTCATTGTACTCATGTGGCCTTGCTGTGTGACAGCCTCCATTGCTTGTGTTTGAGTCTCAGAAGCATAAGTCCCACCTGGGCCACCACAGAGACCTGATTTTTACTTAATTATTTATCCAAAGTCCTTACTTCCAAATACCCATATATACTAGGGTGATGGTGCTTAGGAGGTGAATGCAGGGATTTTGGGGGTAGGGTGGGACAGTTGTTACCATGATATCAGTGGTGGGAGGTCCTTAGTCACTGTCATGCTTGCTTAGCAAGCATGTAGAACTGAATTCAGTCATCAGGGTTCATGGGTATGTGGTGTGTGTCTGTAATCCCTGCACTGGAGGTAAAGATCGGCAGAACTCTGGGGGTCACTGGCCAGTCAGTCTAGCTTAATCAGTGAGCTTCAGGTTCTGTGAGAGAAGTGACACCCAAGGTTGGCCTCCGGCTTCCACACACACACACAAGTAGATATGTGCACCCTCACCCCCACTCCCAGGTAAATTCTTA